GACATTGACAAAATACAAACAGCCTTAAAGCACCTACGTGGAAAATTCGCAAGGATAAGTAGAGCTAAAATAAAGGAAGGTGTCTTTGTTGGTCCTCAGATTCATGAACTTCTTCGAGATGATGCATTTGACCATGCACTGCATGGCAAGGAAAAGACGGCATGGAAAGCCTTCCAGTTAGTGGCAATAAATTTTCTCGGAAACAACAAGGCAGACAGCTACAGGTTGTTGGTGGAAAACCTCCTCAAGGCATACAAAAGCCTTGGTTGCAACATGTCACTAAAGAAAATGTATCATCTAGATTTTTTTCCACCGAACTGTGGAGCAGTGAGCGACAAGCACGGCGAGCGATTTCACCAGGACATTGCAACAATGGAGAAACGCTATCAGGGCAAATGGAGCCCATCAATGCTTGCAGACTATTGCTGGACAGTCACAAGAGATGCTCCATTTAATGAATACAAGAGACAAGCCAAGAAGCGCCGAGTAGACACTGAATAGGACTAAACTATGTGCATAATAGTTTTTTGCCTTTTGTTTCATAATAAATTTTATTTATATAACTCTTTTGCTAATTTTTAAAGTATTACAGAAACAGGACAGGTGAAATATTATCATGTAAAGCAACCATTAACACATGAAAAGACCTAAGTTTATAATTTATGATTAAAACTCTACTATCTACACAATATACATAGATATAAAATGTAAAAACTTAAATATCTTAGAAACAGTACCCAGTTGTTTTAATTGTCATATTTGAATTCAGCACATCAAAATACATAATAAATAGCACATTTTATCTCTGAAGCAGACGACTTCTCAAAAATTGTAGACCAATGTATTCTATGATTCCCAGTCTGGAGCCCTCACCCCAGCCTGGTGAAAATGAGTCAGTGAGAGTGGGGGAGAATGAGTGACTGAGGGAGTGGGGATGGAGTGAGTGGTGGGCAGGGTCTTGGGGAAGGGGCAGGACCTCAGGGAAGTGGGCAGGGCAGGGGGCAAGAGTATTGGATTTTCTACAATTAGAAAGTTGACAGCCCTATGCCACAGGAAAAGCTTCCACTTCAGGCCCTGGAGGACTGCTCCTAGAATGTTCAGACTCTTCCCATGCTGGTGTTGTGGCTGCAGGCATCAGAACAATGCAAATGTCAGTGGACAGGTTCAGAGCTGGGACGTGCCTCATCCTCTAACCCCTCGACCTGCCCCATCAGCCAGCACATCTCTTCCCGACCTCTGACCCTCTGCTTTCCAGCTTCCCTGGCCTGCTCATCTCTACAGCTAGCCAGATTGCTTGCAGCTGGGGGCAGAGAGGGATTTGGGGTATCAAAGGCTGAGCGTGGTGCTGGAGCATTTGACATCCCACCAGTGCAAAGCATGCTGGGATGGCAGTGTTTTAGCACCCTTTACGGTATTCGCACTGGGCTCAAGTCTATGCTCAGTCTGAAGTCAGGGCTAAAATGCACACCGACCTTGCTTGGAGAAGGCCCAGGCCCTTAGTCCGCTGCTGCCTGAGGAAGAGAATCTGTTATTACTCCTACCCCACAGAGGGCATGATTAGCCATAAAGGGCGACTATATCCAAATGAGGCACAGAGCTGTAGCCAGGGGAACGGTGTTGGAGCTGTCAGTATATGCTGGCACTAGCTCCTGGAACTATAGCATTTGATACACATGCTGCTAAACCCGTTGTGTGGTGTCTGGCACAGACATGCCGCACGATGCAGACATGTAATGCTGACAGCACAGCACTGGTCACCACCAACCCTTGCTCTGTGTGCCATGTAGGCTAAACAAACAGCCTGGGCTCTGCTTTCTCAGGCCGCCGCTGCTTGCGCCTGCAGGGCCTTGCCTAGCAGTTTAGCTGCCAGTTTGCCCTTCCCATGCTTTCAGTGCCTTGCGTGTGACCTGGTGGCCCAGCGCATGGCTGTCATGGAACTGTAGAGCCAGCAGTAGGTCTGCAGATAGGTTTGTAGAGGAGACAGAGCTGAGCCACCATGTGTGAGCTCCACAGAGCTGGGGGCTGTTTGAATCTGGGTGTTTGCTTCAGGCCCATCCACTATCCCCACCTCACCTCAGTATAAGGCTACTGCCAGTCACCATCTAGCCCCATGCCCAGGGGCAGACTGCAGTATCAACCTACTCATCACTGACAAGGTTGGGTTTGGATCTGCTGCCTTGGCCTACCCCTGGGCAGGGCCGGCTCCAGGGTTTTGGCCGCCCCAAGCAGCCAAAAAAAAAAAGCCGCAATTGCAAACTGCGGCGGCAATTCAGCAGGAGGTCCTTCACTCCAAATAGCTTAGGGTTACCATTCGTCCGGATTCCCCCAGACATGTCCGGCTTTTTTCAGTTAAAAATAGCGTCCGGGGGGAATTTGTCAATGTCCGGACTTCCCCCGCCCCCCATGCAGAGCGTGCGGGGCTTACAGGGCAGCCGGCCGGATGGTGCCACTCGCACGGGCTCCGGCAGCCAGAGCCCCTCCTCCACTTCCCCCCTCCTCTCCCCTGCAACTTGAGACCACTCCCCTCCTCTCCCCTCCCTCCCTCCCCCCGCCCTGCATTCACAGATCGCTGGCCGGCCGTTAGCCTCGGGCCTCCGGCTGTCTGGAGCTCCGACCCTGCTCCCCTCCCCCGCTGCCGAACGCGCTGCTCTGCGGCACGGTAAAGGGGCCAGGGGTCAGAAAAGCGGCAGGGGGGTTCTGGGGGGGGGGGTAGTCAAGAG